GGGAACTCTGGGAGTTGAAGTCCACACAAATTTCCGAGATTGAGACACAACTGTTCTACCGCTTTCCTACCTCTGGTCTCGTGGTGGAGGCTAGAACCAATCATTTGAAGGAAGAGATAGGTGGTTTGGTGGGCACCAGGTGTGGGTTCCCATTACACCAGCAAGCATAACTAGTGACAAGGGATGAGGGGGGGGGGAATTACAGTCCATAACATCTAGACAACACTTGTTATTGTTGCATAAGTGCTTAAATTTCTTTGGATAAAGAGCAGTTTGATTTGGAATGCAATCGAAAATTACGTGCAGGCAAGAGGAATGTGAATGTGAAGAGGGGGGTCAAGTTATTTTCCAAATCACCAGGAGGCAAGACAAGAAACAATGGATGGAAACTAATCAAGGAGAGAAGCAACCTGGAACGAAGGAGAAATTTCCTAACAGTGAGAACAATTAACCAGTGGAACGGCTTGCATTCAGAAGTTGTGGGTGCTCCATCACTGGAGATTTTTAAAAAAGAGTTAGACAGCCATTTCTCTGGAATGGTATATGCTTGAGCAGGGGGTTGGACTAGAAGACCTCCAAGGTCCCTTCAAACTCTGTTATTACATAGTGGAAAGGCTCCCCAGAAAGAAATGTGGAAATCTCAATTAAATAACTGCAGTGATTCACTTAACTCTGGCAAAAAGGTCACAAAATGGGGCAAAAATTGCTTAACAACTGCCTTGCTTAGCAACAGAAATTTTGGGCTCAGTTGTGGTTGTAAGTCGAGGACTACCCGTACTATGTCAACTCAAGAAAACAGAACAATTCAATAACCAGGTCAGCTGTAAATACAGCTTCTGGGTTCAAAGATACTCCAGGTAAGTCCTCAACTTACAAAAGTTGGTTTAGTGACCGTTCAAAGTTACAATGAAACTAAAAAAAGCGACATGACCATTTTTTCACACTTATGACCACTGCAGCATCCCTATAGTCGTGTGATTTACATCCGGATGCATGACAGTCGCAGGGTCCTGTGGTCATGTGATCCCGTTTTGCAACCCAAAGTTTTTTTTTTTTTTTTTTTAATTTTTATTATTTAAACCGACAAACAAAACAAAACAAAACATAATACACATATATACACAATATATATTTTAACATCAACTTCGTGCCAGTATTCTTCTATTTTTTACATTTTCCCCCTTATTCTTTTTTAAAGTGTTTATCCTTATTGCCCCATTATTTCTTGTTTGCATTTTTCTTCCTTCATACATTATTATATACA